CTACTAATACAACCCCCCGGAGAAGCAAATGAAATGAGATCTAAGTATATAGCCGCCTTTCTGCAGTTCTGTCTTTAACAATAGCAGAGCTGGTGCTTCCTCTTCAAGACTTGACACAGGTCATGATCATTTAAGCACAGTAGTAGCAAAATAAATAATTGAGTAAATATGTATTAACTAGTATAGACATAATTCAGTAGCACTTAACAGATGTGATAGAGAACTTCCATTCTTGATCATTGCGTCATGCGTTTGGGGAACCTCAGTGGATAGAAAGGAGAAGCATCTTAATTCCAGTGAAAAAGAGTAGGGGTGGAATACATGAAACCTCAGCGTCAGACATAATATTACCATTGTAGGAAAGGTGCAGATCTTGAAAGTGGATTACAAATTGTCAAATAAACAATTATAGCAATGAAGTGCAGCTGCCATAACTCCACACAAAAAGCAATATATAGGAAAATAAACCATGCAACTCTATTTTAAAAATCTAGTTCCAAAGCACAACACTGCTGTTTGTTTGTTTTTATATATTTCATCTGGCAAATTTCTTTATCTACTGAATTCCACTGCACTGCAGTTATGAACTTTTTTAAAGCCACGGTATTTCAGATAAGCATTCTAGTAATTAAAGAAACATTCGTTCAATTTGTTTGTACAAATCTCAAAACCTTTATCAAAGCTCCACTGTCAGTTGTGAGGGTATAAAAACATTACACATCTACCCTTCTATCTTTAACCAAGAGCGCTACATAGTTATTTCAGTTAACACTTCTAGTAGTGAAATTGTGTAGTGCCAAGCAAGTCAGCATTGCTGATATATAAATATTCAATAATTAATGTGCTTAAGGGAGATGAGAAAATGGCTATCACATATAAGTAATGAGTTTGCAGATGCCCTCATTTTTGGAAGAACCAATGACCCACTGCCAGTTAAAGAACTGGATTTGGACAAAAATGGGCCCAGGTCCTGCAATTGATTCCATGCAGGAGTCTGCCCATGCAGAGTCAATTGCAGGGTCAGGGCCATGGTTATCTGGTAGATTAAGACAAACTAATAAACAAGAACACAAACAACCCTCTGGAGATCTATGACTCTTTGCAGCTTTCCCCCAAACTAAGGGTCATGACCCTGGGGTGGGGGGGGAGACGGTTGTGCAAGGGTACCTAGGGAGTTGTGACATGTTGGGGGGAAAAAAAGAGGGGAGGGGGGAAGCTTTTTTGCATTCGTAAGTGAGAAAAAAGAAACTCCAACGGTGGCACATTACAACCAACTGTAAACTGGCACCCATGCACGTATGGGTGCAGTGCAGCAATCAGCATGTCACACTGGCACTGGGAACAACGTCAGAGTGGCACCTGGACCCTCAATCTGCCAATGTGGCAGCTGAAGCTCCTACTTCTCTTGGTGCTGAGAACAAAAGTGGGGAGTCCCTCAAGGGAGTCAGACATGGATGTAGGGGCTCATGTGGGGGAGGCAGGGGCTCTTGTGTCTAGGTGATGTCAGAGGGGCTCCCCCTCCTTTGAGGGAGCGGAGGTGATAATGGGAGGGGTGAATGCCTGAGAGATGGTTATGAGGGTGAGAGAGGGGCATGTTCCATGCCCAGTTTTTCTGCATCTCAGAGGTGCCAGCCCTGTTTATAAATTATTATAAAATTAGGATCACACTATTGCAATTTTTTGGAGGATTTTTTGGATGGTCTAGAAATGTTTTTTCATGCTTTTAATTTTCAAACACTGAATCTCTCAGACCCTCAAGGGTCATGTTAACAGAGGTGAGCCCAAAGGGGGTCACGACATGAAAAAATTTGGGAACCACTTAAAGTTATTTCAATCTAAGGACCTAACACTGTAAACACTTAAAGATATGAATCCCATTTACTTCATTGGTGAAATCCTGACCTACTGAAATTAACACGATTTTTGCCATGGACGCCGATGGGGCCAGGATTTTAACCATGTGCATAACTAAGTGTTTGCTGGAGCTGGTGCATATGAATTTCCTAGGAACCTGACTGTTTCAGTTATCAGAAACTCAAATAAACCCAAGTATCTTGTGTTTGTGGGCATATTTGGGGGAAGGGGGGGGAGATTGATCTTTTTCCTGCCTCACTGAAACATTTTACGGCTGAATTAAAGTGAGATTTGGTCTCACTGGATTGTTAGTGTGTTGGAACAAGACCAGATCTTCAGTTAATTCAATGTATTTAAAAGCAGCTCTGGAACACAACGCGCACACAAAAATACATAACAAGCCTCTAGAAAAATGTATTTGTATTTGTATCAGATATAATAGACGGCTATTTTAGATAGAAAAGCCTTTGGGCAAGTTATGTTTGAAATAAACTAAACCTACTATGCATATACTAACGTGCCTAAAATTCCATCCATATCCTTTTCAATCCTGGTCAAAATACAAATACAATCTATTGTCAATAGGTACTAAGAAAAATATACAGAAAAGCTTTTATCTAGAGGGTCACAGAATATATGTTTCCCATTCTTGCAATGCTGTTTTTAAATGTAAATGGACATGGACATCTACGTAGCATGCCTAGAAACAGCTTTAAAAAAAAATAAAGTGTCCTTATCTTGTGTATTACTAAAAATGTTTTAGTTGATTAAAATGAAAAATGTTCACGGTTATGAGTTCTTAAAAAAATATTCTTGCACCACTGCCATCTTTATTTTTGTTATAAGAGACATGTAAAAGTAGCCAATGAATTAGAAACAAATGAGTTTTCAAATTGAACTTGGCAACATTTTCACTGATTGAATATACAATTATGTGCAAGCACCTAAAACACTAAGAATAGATTTTTTGTAACAATAAATTGAAATAAAATGTTTTCCCCAAATATAGAATTTGAGAATAAAAATCACTCAGTCCTCTGTAAAACGTGAAGTTGTTTAAATTCAGATTATTTGTTAAATAACAAACATGAAAATCACAAAATTTAAATTATTATAATTTTAAAGATGAGAATCTTTACATTCACCTCAGCCAAAGTAAACCGCATTTTAGTATTTTAAGAGAGTTGTCTTTTTTTAGACTAAGGCCCCCTCTAGTGTTGGAAAAAATTATAATCCCAGCAAAGGAATAAACTGAGAAAGATGACTCAAAGAACTCGGAACAGGTCTTCCATTCAAGATAATAAAACATCCCACATTTATTTGACTATATTTGCATATAATCATACATCAGTGATACAGAATATGTAGCCACAGTTAAATATCTACAATTCTCCATGGATTTATAATGGTTACCTGAGCGTTCATTATTCTCATAGCCAGTGGCGGGGTTTTTTTTTGGTTTTGTTTTTTAAACTAGCATCTTTAAACCCATTAACATATTACAACAAACATTTTTTAAACACTGACAAGCTTACTACATATTGCTTTTTTTAAGTTATGAAATTTGTTTTATTGATAAACGACCATTCCTCATGAAAAAGTTTTATGTTCACTTCCCCCCCACAAAATAAATGTTTTAAAAAAGTTTGTTTTCTTCCAAAAAAAGTGACCTAAACAAATCCTCCATTAAATAAATTACTGACCTGTGGTAGAAGAAAGAAATACTATCCTCTTTATCAACAATATATCAGAAGTAAACCCAGAACCAATACAAAAACTGTATTCTATGAAAGCAAAGCTCCAAAAGAAGAGTATGGCACTTACATGACTGGGGCACCATCAGGAGCGGCGCCAGGGTTTTTGCCACCCTAGGCGGCAGCGCTCCTCCTCAGAGTATTTGGCAGCGGGGGTCCTTCCGCTCCGCGTCTTCGGGGCGCTTCGGCGGTGGGTCCTTCACTCCCTCTGGGACCCGCCGCCGAAGCGCCCTGAAGACGCGAAGCGGAAGGACCCCCGCCGCCGAATTGCCACCGAGGATGACAAAATGCCGCCCCCCAAATCCTGCCGCCCTAGGCAACTGCCTAAGGTCGCCTAGTGGAAGCACTGGCCCTGGGCATCATAAAAGTCCAGTGATTAATTTTAAATAAAAAAAATAAAGTTCTCTGCATTAATTGTCTTCATTCATGTTTGAAGTGAAACTGAATTGTTAGGGTTTGTTTTCAGTACTATGAGATTTGCACCGTCACTAACATTTGTGCTAGTAGGCGATATATCAAAACCCCAGCATTCATTGATGGGAGAAGAAATTAAGTCTAAGCTTTCAGCCCTGCCCACACTACGAATTTTAACTGTGCCAAAAAAAGAGTAAAGGGCTTTTAATGCAGAATGGCCCTTATTCAACTTTGGCAGTCACAAAAACAAAAAACGCCACCCTATTATTTGTGCTCTTCTCTTATACAGTATTTGTTAATTGCCATAACATTTCGGTTTTTTAGCTTCTTTATATCTCAATTTCACACAAAAATTTAAAACTGAAAACCATAGATGATTGAAAAAAAAAAAACTTTGTAGCCACTGCCATTTAGACCTTCATTCAGGAAAGCATCTTTGTTTACAAAAGCACTAATTATAATTGCATTGGCATTAAGTATGTATTTACATTTAAGTGTGTGCTTACATTACAAAGAACTAGTGTTTTCCTGAATAAGGATGGACTTAAAGCAAATGCCTAAGTGTTTTTCTGAATTAGGACCTTAACCGCCTCATGAGCAACTAATATCTGTTACCCCTTTGCATGCAAAACTCTCATTGATAGCAAAGAGATTTCCATGCTAAGAATGGTTACAAGATCAGACTTGGAGTTGCCTAATAATTTGTGCAGTTTCAGTTTGGTAAATTATCTTCTGGTTTTATCTTCAAAACGTTGTCATCTGCAACTGTTACAAGTTTAAAAAGGTGTTCTGCTAAAAGAATGGTCAGCTACAGAATTTATGATTAAATTATTTTAACTGTGGTCAGAGAAATAGTTTACAAATTAAAATAAACTAAACATATTTGCAAATGTAACAGGATATGACATTTGTAGAAGTGCAGCACTTGTTCTGGCTAAGAATTAACAAAACTCATATCAATGGGAATTACTGCAGTCGCATTTTACTAATACAATTTTATTGAAAAACCTATTTTGAAAGAAATCCATAAAACAAGTGATAATAAATACTGAAGAGAAGCTTAGAATAGATATTTTTCAAAATGCTATTATAAATAAATCCAGCCAGGGTGATGGGGAGAGGTAGAAAATATTTAAACAGAAAATACAAAAAGTATGTAAGTATATTTACATATAAATATATTTTAACATAAAAATGTTAAAAAAAACCCACACCTTATGCTCTAATCCTGCATAAACTTACACACCTGCTTAACTTCATGTCCTGTGAACACTTACATTGACTTCAAAAGGTCTATAAGTGTAAAATATATCATGTGCCTAAGCCTCTTCAGGATCAGGGCCTTAGTTTGTAAAATTAATCAACTTACAAAAATATTTTCCAAATATACTATTTACTGCTGCTTCTTTTTGCAAGCGCCTCTCTGATCTGGCGATCCAATTCACTTACTATATGGTCTTCATGGTTATACACACCTGTTCTCAACAATGTATCTCTCTCTTCTATCAGGCGAGTGAGATAATCATCCAAGCTTTCATTTAATTGTCTAGTATTAAGACTACCCACTCGCTCAACTGAAATATCTCTGGAATCTTGTGATTGTTTTTTGTCGTCTTGTTGCTTTAGCCTGACAATAAAAGAAGTACATCACACAGGTAAAGGACACATGGAAATTCTGTCCTGTTAAATACATTCTAGATGGATTTTTACTGAAATTTCTTACTGAAGTAGTGGAAATCAAGGATTTTTTTTTTTTAAAGTAACACAAACTAACCCTTGCTCGATTAAATTTAAAGGAAGCCTTTCGAATCTAAGAATACCTTCAATCAATTGTGTACATATTACCATGATTTCATCAAGGTTTCTGCATTGATAATGCAGTTTAAAAACCCACATAAGTGACCAAGCTCAGGTTTCAAAATTACTTGAAGCATAATAATAAATGGAGGACATCATTAGATATACTTAAAATATAAAGATATGGGCCAAGAGGAGAGTTGAAAGAATCACCATTAGTGTAGCTTTTTATGAAGCAGTTCTGCTTAGAGTTGAGGGTAAAAAAAGGCTTGCTGCAGTATAAGCACAATCATGACAAAAACTGGTTAGAGTGGCCTTTGGCATAGATTTTCTATAATACAAGACTGTTACATTTTATAAATGAGCGATTTTTTACCTAAGGGACACTAAACTGTGTTCTTTTACTGGATTGACAGCCAATTAAAATTTGATTTAACTGAACCTTCCCCTATTTTGAGGCAGAGGGAAAAAAATCCTACAAAATGCTATAATACCTGTTCAGTTCATTTCTGATATCCTCCAGCTCTTTTCGCTCCGTTTTCCCCACTTCTTTCTCCTCTGCTGCCAAATAGCGCAGTCTCATGTGTTCCAGCTCTTGTTGCTGCTTTTTAAGGCGGGCCATAGCATTTTCTTGCTCACGCTAAGGGGAAAAAAAATCATTTGACATTAAATATTACCGATAAAAAGTGCTAATTCTAACAAATCTTACAGTGTTTCAGAATCCACAAGTAATAATATGGGAACAGTAACTAAGTAGCACGAGTCAATACAAAATATTTAGTGCAGATATGAGATTAATTCTGATGTCCATCACAAATGAAATAAGATTGAGGCAAAAGATTGCTTCAGTCAAGATCACACTAAACATTTGTCCACAACAGATTGCAACCAAATCTGAGGCCAAAAGTAGTAGCTCAACTAGTAGTAGACTATCCAAGGGGTATATTTTAGAGGTGATGTGTCTGGGTCTGAAGATTTTGCTTAAACTGAAACACAGACTACAGTCTTGAATACTGCTCAAGTAACTACAGTGACAGGGGTTATATAAATACCTAGATAGATAATTATAAGCACAAAAATTCAATACAGTGAGAAGTAAAATTTGAAAACCTTAAGTTGCTGTATGCAACACTCTATCCCTACTAGCATACTATGCATAGCACCACAAAGTTTTGTTTGGCAGAGATAATTTTATACTGTGCAAAGAACTACTTTCTAAACTGGTGTCCAGTCTTAGGGCATGTCTACATGAACATTTAGTTCGCTGCAAGCTGGGATGTGAATCTACCCCACAATAGCCTGTCATACACTGTCAATACGGACCCTGTTGATATGCACTAACAGATGGCGTGCTTTAATCTACTCCCATTTCGAAGTGTGTAGATCAAGCTACACTAATGAACTGGACAGTTAAGGTGCTGGAGGATACTGCAGGGTAGATTCACATGCCCGCTTACCACCAACTAAATGTCATGTAGACAAGCTCTTAGAAAGTCAGGGGTGAAAAATCTAAAAATTGACTTGGATTTCTTCTTACATTTATTCAATTTTCAAACTCTGAATAAAAGCCCAAAGGGGGAAAAACAGAACAAAAATTAACTCAATACACATTTTTTAAAAACTTGGTTCAATTCCTAAATGGATTTTTCAAAGTCCCATAATCTAAAACATAGTGCCTTGCCCAGCATCAAAGATTACATTTTATAGGAGAACCAGGGACAAAACCTAGTTCTTCTTGGTGATATTCAATTGCCTTAACAACAAGGACTATCCTTTCTTTTCCTCTTGTCTTCTGACTAATGCTCTACATAACCCTGCTTCATTTACTGTACACAGTCCATCCTGTACACTGCAAGAGGCAGGGGTCCTGGAGGAAAAAACATCATATGATCATGTCCTTAAATAGTACGTCATACTTCATGGTCCCCCTTAATACTGGCATATCTTAACTTGTGCTTGCTTGACTTTGCAACGTTTAACATTTATTGCATGCGTGTTACTCTCCACTGTCTGACTTCATTAATAAAATCTATTTGCGCAGTATATGTAATTCACCAGTCCTGGCACCACTAGCAAGCAGAAAAGAAGAGAAGAATTAGGAAAGGACAGCAACCTGTAGGTGCCAGCAACTGAAGAGAGTGTCCAACAAGGAAAGAACAGATTTTGTAATGATTAGTAAATGAATGAAGCAACTACCAGGTTGCAGCCCTGCAAATTTCCTCATGAAAGGGCTATGTCTCTCTTCCCATGAGCCAGCCGCTGATTTACAGGCTAGATGAATATCTGCTTACTAAAGCAGAAGTAGTTTCCCTACTGACTTGCAGACTGGAGCAAAGGACAGTCAGTCTATTTTGCTATATGGGCTCTGGACACAGTGAAAAATCCTACTGAAATGGGGTATTTGTTATTAAATTCAATGGGGCAAAGACATGAGCCCATGACTTTTTTAAATATCACAATATGAAACAGAGCACACAATCTGTAGAAGGGTGCAGTACTTGTAGGTCTCAGCATCCACATAATAAAGGCAACTTTCAGTAGGACAGAAAAGGCAAAAAGGAGGAAGAATTACGTCCTAATTAATGTGAAAGGCTCAGTTCACTTGGGACAAAACTTCCAGAGTTGTTCACAATCCTACTTTTGTCCAGAAGAACTGTAGGAAAGGTTCTCCTTAATGGTTAAAGCTCCAAACTCATTTAATCTGCAGGAAGAGGTAAATGGCTAAGAAAAAGTTACTTCAATGGTAAGAACAAACAATGAGCATATCATCCTGGGCTCAAATGGAGACTGGTACAAAGTCAGCAAGACCAGATTAAATTTACATCTATGTAAGAAGCCAAAAGGCTGGTCTGATCATCTTGACTGCACAGAAGTTTAGAAATATGGAGAGGAGGATCCAGTGCTTCTCCATATACCCTCAAAGCTCCTGGTGCTCCCAGTTGAACCTGCAAGCAGCTTAGCCTTTGTGAAAAGAAGAGATAAAGAGAAAATAAAGTCAGTCTACAATTAAGTCAGTGTTATGATTAATACTAAAAGGAGGAAATAAGGCTGCATACAGAGACAGTATTAAACCTTGGTTGTACAGTTTTGACTGGATTTCAGGAGATTATCCACCATCTGAATAGAATAAATCCGGAAGTTTCAGCCTCTCAGTTTCTAGACAGAAAGAGTCTAGGAATGTGAGTTCAAAGAGATGACCATGTAGTCTTTCAGAAGACCCTCAACAACAGGAAGTCTGAAGAGATTTGATAGACAACTCCTTGAAACAACTCCTTGAGGGGGACGGATAGCTCAGTGGTTTGAGCACTGGCCTGCTAAACCCAGGGTTGTGAGTTCAATCCTTGAGGGGGCCATTTAGGGATCTGGGGTAAAAATCTGTCTGGGGATTGGTCCTGCTTTGAGCAGGGGGTTGGACTAAATGACCTCTTGAGGTCCCTTCCAACCCTGATATTCTGTGAAACAGCTGCCACTAAAAGGTGGAATGCCCAACCACCATTATTACTTAATCTAGTCCCACCTGATTTTCCTGTTGATACTACCTAAACAATGAAAAAAGAGGTATAGAAGAACCTCACTTGAACACGGCAGTGAGAAGATTTGACCTGCCAAGCCATCTTTACCCAGGGTCTGGGAACAACTGGACCATTTTTGTGACTGTAGGGTACAGCTGTTTCTACCTGTGGAGTTTCCTAGAAGGCCAAGACCCTGGAGAGAACCGGTTGGTTTAAACCCTACTCCTTTGGCTTGAGAACTAGCCCAGATGTTGAAAGTTTCTTGTATATAGGAGGATGACATTATGTTCTTTCAGCCCAGATCAGAATTCTGAATGTCTTTGAAGAGAAGAGCTCCAAGGCCCTCTCTCTCCTCTTTCAACCTGTATCGCAATACAAGCTGCTCAGTTGCTATGTTCCAAAGGATTGTTATGGATTCTGGGGAAGGAGTGAATTTCTATAAGGAATATCCTATGGTCCATAGGTCCAGCTATACTTCAACTAACATATACTCATATACTTCAACTAACTATACTCTACTGCTGCTCCTGTCACATAAAAGAAACTCAGATGGGTATCCCAGGTCCTCAAACTTGTTTCTCTCAAGATTCAGATTGAGAGAGAGATTCTGGGGGAGACTTCACTTGAAGTAGATTATTGGGAAAAGTCCACCATCTCAGCAAACAAACAAGCTGGAAACGTGATATAAATTAAGTTCTCTTCTTGATAGTCCCCTCACAAGAGCAAAAAGGTCTGAAGAGTGAAGCCTGTCTGCGTACAATATTATCTGTATTACCACACAATATCATGAGGCATGGAAGAAAGCATCAGAGGGCTGTGAATAGAGTGAACAGAAGTATTTTGATTGTGTCCTTCAGTTTGTGGAATGTGTCACCGAGGAGAATCACCTGCTTGAGGTGAGAACAAGACCTGGCGCTTAGGTGGTCCAAGCTCCTCAAAAGGCAAGCCTAAGCTCTTGCTAAGGTTCGGCATAAAACTGTGGTTTTGGAGAACTGAAAGAACCATGTTGGGGCCCTAGGAAGCACTCAGAAAAGAAGAAACATTATACAGAGATTATCTAAGTAATGCAATACACAGATACTTTCCCATTTAAGGCTGGCGAGTACAATGACCAGGAATTTCAGTGTCTTGGGAACAAAGACACGACAAAAGGCAAGACAACATGCTTGTAGTATCATTTTGACAGCAAACAAAGAAAACTCAAGTGTGCTAGAAAGTGAAAGTACACATTTTTGAGGTTGATGGACCAGAGTCATCTCAGGCTGGGTGGATACAAACTAGGGACAGGCTAGAAACCTCTAGATTCTTTCTTAGTCAAAAGACAGTCTGGAAGTCCTCTTATGTTGGAATGGGCTAACAGCCCCCATGTCCAGAAGTTTCTTGATGCAGAAAATAATTACTGACCGTTTATAAGGGCCACAAATGAGGGACAAGCAGAATAGCAGTCACAAATGGGATCTGTGGAGGTCAATGTGAGGGAGACCTTGTGGAGAAACAAGGCCTACATGACACTATCTTTGTCCTGCATTGGTCATTTCATCCTGGCAGGATGGGTTGCATCAGGCCTTCCAGCCTTGCAAGCAGGCTGAAGCAAAGCTTCACTGGAAGTGGAAGCAGAGCGGATTGGTGATTATACAAAGCAATTTTTTCTAAATGGGCAGAGAACTGAGAGAGTGAGCTGCTGCAGTGTGGCTCTGGAGATAGTTTAATTTGAGCATGCTGAAGTGCCTCCTATCCATACAAACTGGGAATTGGTCTCCAAGAATCTTTTCTCCAATGACAGCTGTGGACAGTACTTCCCAGCAGTGTCAAGATTAGTAAATTGGGTACAGTATAATTTCTGTGCAACTCATTTCTGATCTAAGCAGATAAGCAAATCTTAACTAAATTTGTTGCAATACAATCCTTTCACACAGTAGAAGACCAAGTCTGGTATATTTACTGCAAAGTCATTCTGTATTTCATTACTTTTGTGGGTTTATATTAGATTATTATAAAAAACAATAAAAAATAAGCATCTTTATACCTTAAGAGGGTCAAAACAAAACAATAATGTGAATTACCTGACTAGATGTGGCACTGGAACATGTACTTATTTTTTAGCATTGTCCTTTTCTCCTTTTTCAAT